AAAATGCCCAAATACTTTTTATAAGTCTGTTCTCTCCCATTCATTCAGACTCCATTCATCAGTATGTGGTCAGCCAGGTGAGGAAGACAAGAGGGGATTAAGTTCTAAGATTGGTTTTAATTAAAATAGTTGAAACTGTGTATTTGCTGTTCAGCGAGGTGATCTCCCCTTTCAGATGGAATTTGAGCCTATAAAAAATTGTAGTGGGAGCTGAACATGGCAAGATGTGTTTGCTTTTCTGAGATAAATCTGTTAGTCAGTGTGTGCTGTAAAATGGCATTATTCCTCCGTTGGAAGTCACACTTCCTACACAACACGCGTTACTCTGCCTTCTCTTCAGACTTTCCCAAGCAAAGTTCAAAATTCCTCCTACATTTATAGTCATCTCCATGGGGAAACTATTGCTTTGGTCCCATGTTGGGCTCTAAGATAAGTTTCTTTCCAAAAGAGCATTTAACAATTCGACAACCCAGTACCTACAGATAGTTTTCAAACTGGGTTCTTTAGAACAAACTGCTAAGTAATAGGGAAGCCCCAAACTCACCAGTGATAAAAAAGGAAGACAAGGGGATTCTGTGGAAGGGAAAATACAGAGGTGAAGTGTGGAGAGGCTCTGATATTACTGATAAATAAACTGGTTTCAGATATGGCCATACAGACTTACCAGGTTAAGGAGAGTCAAGTACTTTGAATGTCCACCATCATGAAAGTCTTTTAAAAGTTTCTCATCTTTTCCAATATTTGGGATGTAATAACTGAGGAAAATATACCAATTCAAAACAAGGAAGTGGTAGATGCAAGTAGATGTTTTCGTCTTGTCTTCCATGGATCAGAGAGTGTAAATACTCAGTCTTCCGTCCCTCTGGAACCCTGAGAGTCGGAGCCGAAGTTCTACGAAGGCTGAAGATCTGTAAACACACGAACATACACACACCCTGTGGTTGAGTGTATCAGCACAAACTGGATTTCACTTTTCTCTTAGGAGCTTTTCCTTGAAAACTTGGGAGAAAAGATTATTGCTTGTTTTCAGATAATCTGCATACATTGCAACATCAGGCTTTGAGGTGAGTATGAGCTGCACTTTGAACTTGGCGGTGGCACATTAAATGACCTATTATAAATGTTATCTAAATAAAAAACAATCATGCCTCTAGTTGTCTTTCCATTGGGTCAGAGTGGTCAGAAGGAGCAATGGCATCTCTCAAAGGAATGAGAGCTCCTTTTAAAAACCAGGAGATAGACTCTGATGTGTTTAAGATAAGGAAAGAGGTGTTGTAATGTTGCTCCTGAAATCTCGGGTCCTGTCAAGCTGAAAACAGCCTTTGGTCCTCTAGGAACAGAGCCACAGGATTCTGGGATTCTCTCTTTATCTCCCCTCCCTCCTTCCTCCAGAGAACTAAGCATTCCAAGACATTCCATTTGCACAGGCCTTTCTGTGTCGGGAAGGAAGAAGCCCAGGAAGACAGCTGTGGCCAGGAAGCCACATGTAGTGTAGACATGGCTGGGGGTTGAGGGAGAAAGTGTCTCTGTACTGCCCTGGAGGAGTACAAGACATAGTTGGGTTGGGAGAGCAAAGGGCAGGACTCTACCTCAGCCTGTGCAGGAGGGGACTAAAAGAGAACTGGGGGTGTGATGCCTTGTGACATCACCAGTTTGTTTCCCTGGGCAACTGAGTTGGTGGATTGAGAAGATTTCTTGAGAATGCTTTGGAGTTGATGCTATTGATGATTTTACCATGGCTTACAAAAACTGAGAGAAAGAACAGCAGTGGGGTATGGGGATCCAAACATCCAGAACAAGTCTACCTACTAAGAGTCAAACACACATTAATGTCAGGAGAGTGGGTCTGAGCCAGCAAGTCTGCAGAGGACTTGGGTTTGATTCCCAGCACCCACACGATGGCTAACAACAGTCCATAGCTCCAGTTCCAGGGAATCCAGCATCCTCTTCTGACCCCCACGAGCGTTGCACAACATGGGTGCACTTACATACATACAGGCAATACACTCATATACATAAGAATAAAAATAAAATGTTTTTAAAAGTAGTAATATATAATATATACATGTAAAGCTATGTAAGTTTTAAGCTCAGCCTCTGCATTTTCTTATAAAACTTTCCAGAAAAAACTGTTACCGAAAGAAAACTCTACATGGTAACCACATTCACATCACAATGTCCATCCCTGTTTGAATAACCAGACAGATGTTCATGAGGCAGCCTGATCCTCTGCCCAGCTATGAGATGAGAGAGAGAATTTTTTGTTGCTATTTTTGTTGTTGCTGTTTGTTTGAGGTATAGTCTCAAGTAGCTCAGGCTGGTCTGGAACTCTATGTGACCAAGGATGACTTTGAACTTTTTTTCTGTATGTGTGTGTATGTGTATGCACGTGTTTTGGAGACCAGAGGACAGCTTCAACTATTTTGAGTCAAAGTCTCTTCCTGACCTGGAACTTACCTATTAGGCTAGACTGTCTGGCAAGTGAGCCTCAGGGAGCCTCTTGTCTCCATCTCACCTGTGTTAAGATTATAAACGCACACCACCATGCTGGGTATTTTTATGAGGGTGCTGGGGCTCTAACTCAGATCTTTGTTCTTATATAACAAGTACTTTACCAACTGGGCTTTCTTTCCAATTTGACCTTGAACTTCTGATCCTCCTGCTTCCACCTCCCAAGTGCTAGAATTACAGGCCACCACACCTAGTTTATTCATTGTTAGGGCTCAAACCCAGAGCTTCCTGCATGCTTGGCAAGGACTTTGAGAGCTCGGCCAGCCTCCTGGCAGAGCTTTAACAAGCAATAAATGCTACCTCTTAGCCAGCAATTATGAGCTAACAAGCCAAGTCTGTTCTTAGCGCATTTCTCCTTTCTCCAAGGATCCAGAAGCTATATGTTATACAGAGGAGAAGTGGAAGATTTATAGACAAAACTGGCAGGAATTTAATTTTTTGCCCATGAAATAAAAAACATATACACATAAACATGTTTCAGACTTTAAACATTACACAGAGAACTTGATTCACAAGTGACATTCTTTGAAGTTTTGTGGCCTCTAGAATACTGAGACATGAATTTTTAGTTTCTTAAATTCATATTGATTATTGAGCAGCTGTTTACTGAGCAACTACATTTGCCAGGCACTGACTAGGTCCTGGAGCTTTCTTTAGAATTAAGATCTGATCCCTGATCTCAGGAAGTTCATACTCTAAAATACGGAGGCAGATTATAAATATGAACAAATCCAGGGGATGATTTATAATTATGAAAACTTCTGTTCAGGACAAACACAATGGCTGTGGTGCAAGAGAGAGGGGTGTCCAAGGTGAGGTGGTTGGGAGGTGAGGGTAGAGGGCCTTCGGGAAGCTATGTGTAAGCAGGGCAGGTTCTCCCCACACTCCCAACCCTTCTGCTCTGTCGCCCAGAGTGCTCCCCCTTCATTGCCAGCTCAGTATGTGCTAGTGTTTCCTAGGGAACTGGTCTAGCTCGCTGTCCCAAACTCCATATTTGCAATTTTATTCCCACTGCGGCAATGACTTTTACAATATGGACATACTCTGGACAAGTGACTTTTACTTAACCTTGCAACCAAAAAGTTAATCTTGTTTTAGCTAGTTTATACTGCAGATGAGCTTGCTGAGCCATGAACTCCTCTTGAACCTGAACATAGAGCTCATGATTCTGCCTTGCCTATGACCCATGACAATGTATGATTGTATGTGTGGATGCTCTGCATATCAAGTGTCATAAACAGCTGATATTTGTTGAAAGCAACAGATTATCCCATGCGTGTTGCAAACAATAGATGAGATTAAATTGATAATGTGTGCTTGTGATTGTGTGTGTCTTTTATTCAGTAGGGGATCAGAAGGGACATAATCCTCTGATACGGCTCCACTTTCACGTCCTTATTTCATACTAGATATAAGGTTTCAATGAAAGAGTGAGCTCTTGTTCTAAAACACAGTTCTGAGAATAATTTGAACGAACAGGTATTCAGAGAAGTTCAGGTCTTAGCTAAAATGCATGCTCAGAGTCAGACTGTCTTTATTTAGGCATAACTGCAATGTGGCATCACGTAGTGACCTTTACCCAATCAGTTTCTAATACAGTCCATTCACCCTCTTTCCTTACCCACTCCAAGCTTTATACACATCTTCAGCTACCTGTTGTTTGGCATCCCCTAACTGAGTCAGACACCCCTCAAACCAACTGGAAAGGAACTTATTTCCTTCCTCCAAGTTTGGTCTGCATTTCTAAACTCTCAGATGATGCCCCACCCCCATCCTTTCAGAGGCCTTCTTTTTTTTTTTTTTTTGGCCGGGGAGGGGTCTTTACTCAACAAGCCCAATTAATCACCAACTCAGTCAGTTCATCTCTCCAATCAGGCTCCAATCAGTCCCTTTCTTTCCACCCTTCCTATAACTGCCCTGGTTCAGGCCTTCATCTCTTGCTGGTGCCATAGCAACCGTCTCTTCATTGGTTTTCCTAACTCTTGTTTTGCTTCTCAATTCTGTTCTTCACAAGGTCAAACGGGTGACTCTGAAATCTCACATTCACTTCTGACATGTATCCCTTCACTAAATGAATGTCACTTATGGTATACTGTCTGAGTTCATAGTTTTATTTTTAATATTTGATTATTTTTACTTTATGTGTTTGAGTGCATTGCCTGCATGTGTGTAAGTGTACCCATGTCGTGCAATGCCTATGGAGGACAAAAGGGGGCGTCAGATCCCCTGGAACTGGAGTTATGGTTGTTAGCCACCATGTGGGTGCTGGGAATCAAACTTGGGTCTCTGTAAGAGCAGTCAGTGCTCCTAACCACTGGCCATCTCTCTAGCCTCTGAGTTCATAGTTTAGTGAACTGCCCATGATCACTTGACTTTGGTTCTCTCCCCAGCCTCAACTTTTGTCTGCCACGTGATGCTCCTTTAATGACAATAAATTGACAGAGTTTCCCACCCACACCTGGCCAAGTCACACCAAGTGCTCGTGTTCCTACTGCCTCCTCTCCCTGATGGCTGCCTTAGAGCAAGTTTAGTTATTGAAGAAACATCCTGTAAGAAACAGTCCAGAATTTTCCTTCCTTAGGAATTCTTTACTGAGCCCCTCCTGACCTAGGCCACATTAAATAGCCCCACATGTCTTCCTGAATACCATCTGCATCTCTGAAAATCATAGGATGACCAGGAACCCATTTTATAAAATATGCTATTATTTCTTAGGGTTCAGACCTGCTGTGTTTGAATTCCTAGAGCTAAGAAGAGTACTGAGCACATAGTAAGTAGTTTATAAATATCTGTTGAGTAAGAAAATAATAATCCAATTCAAATATGTAAAGAATCAGAAGAGACATTTCTCAAAAAAAGAATGAACTTGGCCAACACACACACACACACACACACACACACACACACACACTCAACATTACTGATGATCAGTAAAAGCAAATTAAATCCAAAATTGAGGTATCAGCTCACTCCTGTCACAATGACTATTATAAAAAAAAATGTAAGTAGGACATGGTGGTATGGCTTAAACCCCAGCTCTCAGGAGGCAGAGGCAGGCATATCACTGCAAGAATGAGACCAGCCTAGTCTACATAGCAAGATAAGGGTCAACTGAGGCTACAGGGAGACCTGTTTCAAAACAAAAGTTGGGGAGGCTGTGTTTATTACAGCATTATTCCCAGCAGCTGTGGTACAGAGTCATGCTAAGTGCCCAGAGGTAAATGAATGAGTGAACATACTATATATTCAATGGAGTACTATTTAGCCTTTACATCAAAAAAATCTTGCATTATATTAAACAGAATAACCCAGGATCATAAAGACAAATACTGCATGGTCTCATTCATATGAGGGATCTATAACCAAGTGTATAGAAATATTGAGCATAATGATGGTTATCAGGGGCTAAAAACAAGGGTGGGTAGACATCAGTGAAAGATTGTTAAAAGATGGAATTTCAGTTCAAAAGAAAATAAGCTCAGGGGCCGCTCTTGTACATCAAGGTGACTATAGTTAATAACAATGCATTGTGTGCTTTAA